TTTCTTGCAACCGCAACTGCACCAGATCCTGTAGACGACCCCAGATGTTTCTTGCCGTGGCGGTCGGTATTTCGGCTTCATTATCTGATGCCTTATGGTTGCCTCCGACCTGTGTTGCGACGAGACACGTCCACATGTTCAAAGTTGATGAGGCCGAGATTCTCGCAAGAGGTGAGAATCGGGTGACGTTTCGACATTATTCGCTGAGTCATCATCGGAGACATGAACAGTAGCATAAACGGGTAAATCATGCATAGAAGTTTGCAGTTTTTTATGGGATACAGTCATTACTGCAAACATACATGGACGTCATGAGTCATGGTTAACGGGCCCCCAATCCATAAACAAGTGCAACAAGTTGCGCAACGCATACTCAATGCTAATATTCAATTTGGCAAGAGCAAGTCCCTACGCCCCACCCCACCGCCCGTGAGGAAAGTTCAGCAGGTCAGAGCTAAGGGTCTACCGTATGGCTGTACGCAGACACTGCTCCCGGTGATTCATGCATTGTTGCCTTGAGTCGACTGGTGCGGTTGTATTAAGAACTGCCGAGGGCACCTGCTTGAGCTACAGGAAGGGTAGCTGTTGCGATGGAAATTGCGTATTCGTTTTGTTTTCGCAAATCGCTACAGCTTGTGAGTGCAGTTGCTCTTAACAGTAGCAGCTTTACTTTGAAAGCCTTCGCTCGTGAGAGTGCAAATACGCCAGATTATGAAACAATAAATTTGATGCTTAAAAAGTTAATAAACGGAAAATACAGTAAATGGTTGAATAAGAAGCATTAAACACAGCAATACCATTGTTGGTTTCCTTTCGCTTTATCGCAGAAATGAATTATTTTTAACATATTTCGTTCGCGTTGGAGGCAGCATTTTATATCAGATTGGCAGCTAGGAATTGCAAAGGTTAGTATAGGCAAATAAATTGTCCTTTCCACAACAGGCACAGTACTCGCAGAGCTGTGTGTGTTCGCACTTCTATTTAGGTGAAGGGTTGGCTGACAGGTCTGAATAAGTAGTGACAAGAGTACTGGCCCTATCGTGTTTACTGCTTAAGTGTTATTGTTATATGTTTAGTACAAGAAGGCACCGTTTTGGAAAAATTTTAAAATAAGGAAAAATTAGGGTAAAATGCACAAGTAGAGATGTTAAATAAGTAGAAGAAATATGTCAGATCAAGCGGCAAGTTTTGCATATAAAACGCTAGTTAGCGATCTTTAGAAGCAGGTACTGAACTAGGAAGTTGGCAGTGAAAAGGCAGTATTACGAAGTAAATTTTAGACAGAGTTAATGAGCCCACACTTTTAGAAATAACATACAGGGAAGATACAATTTATACTGTAACTCCCGTGCAGTAAGTGTAAGAGAAGCGTGTGTAAAACTCACTATGTATTATCAGTGCACATTATAGCCCGTGGAAAACTACGGTAGGTTACCTAGCGAAGTTTTCGGACCTATATGCTTCAACATTATGTGCAATGTAATGCATAGCTTTTGCCGAACAGCCCACATTTCGAGAAGATATTCTAGCATGTTTTCAGGAAAAAACTTCCGGTTATTTATTTCGTTTGTGCATCGCTTGAGTTACGTTTAACTTAGGCAACCCTTTTATCGCCTGATATAGCCCATTTGAAAAGCACAGGAGTAATATATTTCATTATCTCACGTGCGGACATGCAGGCCATTGACTTCAACATTTAAATGCTATTATGAGGTGCAAATTTAAATGTGCCATTTTTGTACACTATGATTAATTTCTTTCCGCCAGATTTTTTCTCAATTGTTTTGGGATTTCGATTACGAAGGGGATCAGATACTCCTTCATATACTGATGGAGACATTACGATTGTCACTTGCTTCAGCCTATTGAGAATAAATAATTGCTGTATACTACGTGGTTACCAAAAACTTCAAAATAAAATACATCTTATGGGCATTTACATAAATAACGAACTCCAACATTTTTTAATGCAGCTGTTCGCCTAGTATATTACGTCGTGGCCGAGAGAAATGAAAGTCCACAAACAACGGCGCAAACAAATATGCATAAGAATGAGTCGAATATTTTCTGTAAGAAGCTACCTTTAGAAAAATAGCCTCGGTTTTTCATTTAAAAAAAGTCAAAAATGGTGAATATGCTGTGAGTTCAAAGCTGGTTAACATAGGAATCGCTGCCAGCACAAGCCCTAGTCTCATGAGGTTTAAATATTGCGGCTAAGTAAGAAAACCGCATCCCAAATTGATGCGCGTCTACAGTTAGCCCCAACTATTTATGTAAAAATTACGCCTAATAGGCCTTATCTCAAAAATGACAAGTGCTATCCGGAGGACAGAGGGTGAAGGGGAGGGATACACCAGAAACACTCACTTGCTTCTGTTCGCCAACCGAGGCGGTTACTTTGAGTTGGCCGACAGTCAAAGCTTTACTACAGACATCCTATTGGTTTACGAGATGATATTGAGTATGGCGCAGCTTCTGTCATGCCGTTATGTCACATCGTGCTACATACCATTATCAGGAAAAGTTTTAGTCCTATTAAAGCACTTTACACCATCTTGAGGTTTGAGGGATGTCTGCTGTCTAATAGGAGGGCAGTCGGCTCCATAATCAAATGCCATTCCCATATCCTTTAACTGTGTCAGGAGCTGAATAGTAAGCAATAAGCATAGCAGAAGGAAATTGGAGCACTGGAGCAGGGCCTTTTGTGTACGCCATTATAACGATAAATGCCAGGGCTACAGTTGGATACTAATAAAGAATTTCCAATATTCATGGATAAGACAAATTTTCGAAAAAGTATTTTTAGCAGTGCAAATCATGTGCAAGTGGTTCCTGCATTTCGTCCTACGTAAACGGTGTTAATAGGAGTTTGGGATGGGAATGTAGGAAAAGGAATTATAAAAATAAGTGTAATATTAAAAAAATGTACTTTAAAATGTTTCCCGAGACAGTGAGAGTAAGTTGATCCAAATTTAATTTAACGGTCTGCGGGGCGTTTATCGATGACCTACGGCGTATTGACGTTGATGTTACTTTGAATATGGCTTAAAATCCAACTAATTAAAATAGCCAACGACCAGTTTACGCGCTCAGAGAATTCCGGTAAGATAAAACATAAACTAATTTGATGGGAGTCTTTTCCGAAGGCCAGTTGGAACTGAAAAGTTGGCGTTGAGCTGTCAGTGCTTTCCTCAGAGCTCCGTCTGCTTTATCGTAGGAAGGGACTTCAAATAGACTAATTCATGTTTATAAACGAGAAGTAAATTATGACGACCTGTCAAATGGGACAAAAATACATGTTATTCAAAAGAACGTATTTATTTATTTGAAGGTCTTGGCAAATGGTTCGCCTTTTAACACAGTCAAAAATGGTAAAAATGCTGTAAATTCAAAGAAAATTAAAGCAGCAATCGCCTTAGCCCAGTGACGTTTAAATATCGCGGAAGGATACGAAAAACTGCGTCAAACATCGATGCGGTGTGAACTGTATAGAGGTACCAGCTGTTACTCTTCTACATTAGATTCACTATCTCATGCAATAGCTGCCCGAATTCTGAAATAAGTTTTCGATTGGAACATATTAATTGCGGATGGTTTTAACAGAGATGACCATATAGCCCAATTTCAACATATTTGAGACATTTCAGGATGCCGGTTTTCTAACGAGCTTCTTTCTGACCGCCAAGACAAACCATGTACTATTAAAAGTGACTACTTAAATAGTATGCCCTCTTGTCATTAATCTCGACTGCATTTATAGATTCAAATATATTTTTTTGGAAAACATACACGAAAAAATTATTTCTTTTACTCTTTCGGTAGCAAATAACACCTTTAAATGTTATACTTAAAGGAAGGGTATCTTTTGGTTTTAAAACGTTTCTAAATTGCCGAATAATTTTGAAACCTACTGACTGCTACACTCGAATTCACGGTTTAAAAACTGTGCACTGTGCAAATCCTGTTTAAGGAAAAGTACGTTTTCGCCTACAGTTTGAGGAAGATCTCACATAGTTCCCATAAAATGTTGCAATATATGTGGATCATGCTTTATACAGTAATGGCAGCATTAAAAATGACGGATACGGTGTTCACTGACGGTATTCACGATAGCGAGCATAATTTTCTTCCATTATCAAGCCTGCATCTGAAAAGCAAACTGTGGCAATTAGTGAGTCGAACGCGAAGTGTCAAGCCAGTACTGC